AGAAGAGGAAAAACACACAGAAAGATGTGTGTTATGTGGACGGCTGGGAAATCAGCCGCTGCAGGGAGGGGAATGTTATTTCCACACAATCTCCAGAGCTGACAGACACACAAACACACAACACTCTCACATGCATGTCACTCTTTGGCACAGTATGTACATGGCCAGGAAACAAAATGTGTTTGTGTGTGGCGTTAATGAGACTCTGAAGGTGATCATTAGGCAAACCCAGCTCAGCTCTCCACAGACACACACTGATTCACAGACGCAGCAGACAATGTGGGACAGTCAGACTGCACACACACACTCATTTCTAAAATCTCTCTGTTAGCAAGCACTATTTCTGCTCCATGAACTTTATTTTTTCTAGATAATATGCAATGAAATGAATAGTCGCCATCATGACAGTCGCTGCTGGCGTAGTGTTTCCTGTCTCGCTGACCTTGTCCATGTGCATTGTAATATAAGACTGATGTGCATCTCACCAATATCATTATGCAGCAGAGACTCAAGGGAGGTCTGTTCTCAGGAGTGTATCATATCCATTCAAACCCTGTTACCTTCCACCAAACAAGGTCATGAAAAGACACTTGCGATATCTGCATATTCATTAAGTTTCAGGAAAACTTCCTGCAATCAATCCAGGGCCTGCAGAAGGCCAAACAACATATGGACAGATTTATTTTCCTCTGCAGATACTAAAGGCTTCACAAGACATTGAAAACCAAAATGATGTGCATTGAGAAACACAGTGAAATCCACCATAAAATGACTCATTATGACGCAAAGATCACACAAATTTATATAAAGTAAAAAGCATTATGAATTATTAATTCACATATAAATGTGCAAATGATGTAGATGAAAAACTTTCACCTAAAATCTAATGCAAGGACATTTGTGAGGCAGAAGCAGTTGACTCAAATGACTTTTATTTATGTGCTGAGTCGCTGGATCGAACATGTCGGGCCATTAGAGGATTCTGTTCAGAACGGCACCGTTACCTTCCTCATAACTGCCAGATGTCACTTCATTCCAGCATAATTAAATCAGAGATGTTTGCCTCAGCTGGTCTCTCTCCATTACAATAATGAATTCATCAACCCATGGCTCCATTTCACAATCACATCTCCATACACTGTTTGAATTTAGATTTGGGTTTGGTGTAGTAATGGAACACACTGTGATCAATGAGATGTGCATTGCCCTGATTAACCTAACTTTACCTTCATGTAAGGATAAATTCAACACAGCTCCTCTAAGATAATGCAACGCGTCTGATGAAGAAAAAGAACCCATTTTTGCCGTGTCCTTGGTGTTGTTTGAGTCTTGCAGAGACTTTATGAGCTTCATGAACATTTCAAACCATGTGGCGATGGGCCTCATGGGACAGGAAACGCCTAAGAGACGGCTAATAAAAGATGATGTACGCTTACATGCTGCATGCTATTACAACACATTATCATTATCCTCACTGTTAATTCACATTTTTGTGTGCACAGGTAAAAAGGCATATAGTTCTCCTACATTCAGTCACGTTAATATGTTTGCATAATGTTGGGATTATGAATTCAATGATAAAAGTAGGACATTAGGACATTTTTGTTATGTATATGTTTATGTAAAATGGATCCTTGAAATCAGTTAAGAAGCACTATGACAGTGCGTTTTCTATCCGAAGGAAAGAAAAGTGGTATTTTCATCACATGGTAAATTGGACACTTACAACAGTGGCTGCAATTAAAAAAGTGAAACCTTTGCCATCTAGCTAAGATGAAAAACAATCCATAAGACATTGAAAACATTCATTATTAGAGGATGGGTGGAACTCATCTACTGAAAGCGGGGCATGAACTCTGCATGAACCTCATTACACTGAACAAAAGCAGCAAGAGAACAGACCCAATTATGAAATGTACAGCTTCACAGATTATTTGTTAATTAAAAAGGATAAAGTGGAAACAACAGTAAGTGGAATCCAAAAAATGGATAAATTAACCAATTAAGAACAAAATCACAGAACACTCCAGAAAGAAGCTTCTTCTGAGTCATTTTCCTTGCTTAAGTAATAAATCATCTACACTGTGTTTTTAGATCCTGATGGCAATAGTATGAACATGTACAGCACTGATCGATAAAGCCATCAGCTCAGAAGTCCATGGGAAGTTATTTATACATTATTTAATGAGTTCACAGTGCTGTGCATTTATGAGCAGCATGTTTTACAGGATAGAGACCTATGGCTTATGTATGTTTACTATCATGTACTACTTAGTGCTATGCACCATTTCACTGTCTGTTCGCATAAGCTAGCATGCTCATGAATCCTATATCACAGAAGAGCACAGATTTAGTGTTTGTAAACCTTTATGAAGGCTACACCTGGATTTCCTTACATTTAATAAAAAATAAGATGCAGAATCCAGTCCACAAAGAAGTGACAGGGGACCCAGTCATTTAAGCTATAACGCCTCTGAACACTAATCTTCCACAGGAAAAACTTGCTACTGTAGTGCTGTTACCACACAGGACATCAATATATTCAGCATTGTAAAAAAAAAATAAAAATAAAAAAATGGCCAAGTCCGATTTTTGGCTTTAGTCCCACTGAGATACTGCAGTAAGATAGGAGTCAGGTCATTCATGCAAGACATCTCAAAATATACAAGATCTAAGATAGATACCACTGCCTATCTATAACACAGGTCAGTAGGGAGCTCTGATGTTGAACTACATGAAAGGTCACAAGCAGACTGATGAAGCTATGAGGCCAGTGACTTACAGTCACTTGCTTGAAGCTCCACAAAGAACTTTTTACTCTCAAGTTCTTTAGAGAATCATCTATGTACTGGTGTTTTGAAGAACCCAGACACCAACACACTGATCTAAAAACCTTTAAAGAAACACCAAGAACTTTAATAATCTCCAAAGAAACATTTAGCAACCTAAGATGCTCATACAATGCAAAACTCACAATAATACTAAAACAGTGAGGCAGCAATACTGGGTTGGTCCACATATGTATCTCCAGTATTTACAACCATTACAGCCGTAACATACTCTAGAAAAGCAACCTACATACAAGTGCAGCTTGGCACATGAAATTTACAAATTCACTATTTTCAAGTTACAACCAGCTATCTGCTCATTGTCTACTCACATCAATAATATAAACTCTCATTGAGAGATCAGTACTACCTCTGAACCAGCAAAATTCCATCTCAGTTTGGGAATCATATGCTTTTGAGTGAGGCTACATGTAATGTACTAGTACAATAATGTACTAATGCAATACATGATGTTGTCAGTTGCACTGTATGTACAGAATATGTATGCATCACATATACAGAACGTGTCCATGATGCAGTTGTCTCTCATAATATTCTGATTCTCTCTCTGCCAGAATCACATTGATTACAGCTACCTTGCTAGTCAGCTGATCTGCTGTCTGTTATTGATTTAGGCTGAAATTCCTAACACAAACGATTGCATTTCCATTTCAGGCCTGGACAATTGATCACAGTGCTCGCAGTGGGAGGATCTTTGAGCTTCCCAGCAGCACTTGATTCAAGCAAAGTGTGCATCTGCAGCTAAATTGAGCAAAATGTTGAGGGTAAGTGAGGTTATGAAGATCGAGTCATTGAAGAGCTCTGGCTGTGGTCAAGGTGCCCACCATATCCGGTCTGAGCAGAAATGAAGTCTGGTCAGAATAATCTTAATTTAACATGAACGAAGCTATGAGGGACAGATGTACAGTGCCTTCAGTGGGTTGGACTGTGCTGTACATCGAAGAAGTAATGCGTCCAGCTGACACACACACACAAAAAAAATCAATAAAGAAAAAACAAATTAAATAAAGGTATAGTAGTCCTGCATAGCTCTGTTTTCATTCACATCACAATAAATGTGATGTTCAGCCCGACTAGGGTGAGTTCTCTGTTACAAATATTTCTCAGTTACAAGTAAGCTAGAAGTGCAAGGTTTTTCGTGTAATGGGTTTACTTAAGATCTCCTAACAGACACCTGGGAGATCTTGATTCTGTAATTGCTCGGTATTTAACACAAGCAGCCGTCTTAAACTTTAACAGGTGAGGTGAAATAATCCAATCCTTTGAAAGGATTTAAGTGAAAATCTCAGTCTCAGAGAACTGAAGGGCTCGGCTGAAATAAATCAATAATATCTGCATGATAATGAGCTCTGACCTGCAGATACATGTGCAGCATTATTATCAGACTGACTTAAGGAAACTTCTTGCAGGATGATGGTGCATCACTGCACACTGAAAAAAGTGTCAGAGCTACAAGAACAAACAGGAGAAAAAAAAAAGGGAGGGAGATCAGAGATCCAAAAGTGGAAGTCTGGCAGTCCTCCAGCCTTTGTAATTCTTCAAGCTCTCAAAGTCACAGTGGAAAGCAGGTGGTATTACTGATGATCACCTTTCTCTGGAAGGGTATCGGCTAGTCTTTGTGGAGACTCTGACCTTGAAACGGAGCAGAGCCAATAGGAAGTGTCCTCCTCTCACTGCAGCACTGCTGTATTATCATGCACTTATGTGCCGTGACTGGGGTCTGATGTAACTCGTGGGCAGGTAACCGGTAGTAGTGTTTAGATTTTACACAACAATCGTCAAGAAGCTTCAAAGGGTCGTCTGCGTCACTATCAACGCCCATCTCAATTAGTTATACTTCCAGGGCTTAGTCACAGGAGTAAGATACAACACGTCTGCTTTGAACTAACATGCCACACAAAAGCACTCACATCCGGTTCTTACCTCACTATGAAGCATTGCTTTAATGTATAAACAATTAATTTTCTTTGATCCTGTATGAATGGACAAACTGTACTGACAGGGGTTTACATAACCATTTTCATCATTCAATGCAGAGACCTATTTTGAGCTGTAACTAGACCTAGACCTAAAATTTTAATATGCATGTGCAGTCAAATAAATTTGATGATCTCAAAGTGCCTCTATGACATGAACACAGATTGTACTTACAGGTCTTTGGAACAATATCATTAGATTCCAGAGTTTGTGATGGATACTGGTTTGCAGTGCCATTCTGGAGGGGTTTGAAGGTGCTCTTGGGGCTGGGTGGAGACACAGAGTTTGTGTGAACAGTCACTGCTGCAGTGGGCGTAAAAACTGGCACCTTTGATGAGTGCACCTCAAAGGTTTTGGCTGTGGAGTCCCCTTCCACAAAGATCTTGGGCTGTCCTGGGACAGACGGAGTCGTCGGGGTGACCGTGGAAGGTGAGACTGATGCAGAATTCTGAGTGAAGTCTGAATTGATTATAGGATCCTGTCCGATGCGCTTGAGATCAAGGTGGGTCGGTGGCTCGTATTCAAAGATCTTGTCCACAAAGACCCACTTGAGGCCGGCGGTGCAGAGAGCCAGACTTAGCAAGCAGGCCAGGATGGGCAGGATGCAGATTTTTTCCGAGCGGATGCAGTTACTCACCCGCTCCAGATCGAGGCACACGCAGCATGCAGCCACAGGCAAAGGCACGCATCCCAGAGGAGCACGCTCGGAGCTATCGCTACCCCCTGCCACGTCCTCCTCCGCTTCCTCGGGCGTCTCTTTCGTGGCGACCTCAGACAAGGCATCCGAAGGAGCCTCTTGAGATGCAAGTCCGGCAGAGACGTCCTCCGCCGCTTCTGACTTCATCTCTCCCCCTCGTTCTGTCTCTCAGAAGCAGCTGCACAGACCTCCTCTAATGCTGCGGCAGGCATGCTGCCTCGTAAAGTGTTCTTTCCATTATCAGATCACCAGCGAGGGGGAAGGGACTCGGACACGATGCTCAACTGCCTAACCTCGTTACTAAAGAGGAAGACTTACGTGGCTCTAATTTCTGTCGCCCTGGTTCGTTCTCACGGTCTCCAACAGAGCAGGAAGAAAAACACAGGCAGCAAGTCTACGAATAAGGCATACGCTCCGGAGACAGGCGTGTGAGGCCGCCCGAGGGTGGATCCCGCCTCAGAGAGTCCCGGAGAGAGCGCAGCACTCACCTGGGGGCAGGGCTGGAGGAGGGGGCTGGCACGCCTGGGCTGCAGTTCATGCTGTCACGCTCTGCCAGCCGCTGCCGAAAATGGCTGAAGCATCCGAAAGCAGCAGGTGCATGTCCGATCAAAGCGCCGACTCTTTAGAGCGGTCAGTAAAGACTTGAGCACAGAACCAAACGGAAGGATGAGTAGATAGGAGTGAGGATTACACACACCCCTTCTTTCACCCCTCCTCTTTCTCCCTCTCCTTATCCATCACACCAACACACACGTTCTGTCTCTCGCTGTGTCTGCTGTCTTGATCCTCTCGCACTATGAACATTGAGCAGAGTCGGGCAAGTCTGCGCTTGATCCAATTAGGAAGAACAGCAGCGAATGAGACAGTCTCTCTCTCTCTCTCATTCACTTATCTTTCTGCCATTGATTCTGCTGTGGACGAGGATAGAGTTGTATCACACACATTGATGGGCTGTTTCTTAGGGGAATATGCTGCTATTGTTTCTATTAGTGGTCGAGTAATATGTTTTTTTTTTTCAAAAGCTAATAACTGTTACTGATATCTAGAAGGCAGGGTGGGTGATGGCAGATATAATGTTGATATACGTATATGCATGGGTAGTTGATGCATAATGTGTCCACATACTTTTTTTTTAGATTTCAGATTTAAAATTTATGTGTAAAATGTGTTTGTTTGTTTTTTTTACCTTTTTTAATGATATTTTGGTTTTTAGTAGTAGCACTGTCATGCAACAAATTCATTTTTAAAATTACAAATATTCAAAATACCTATTCTAATACGAGCCCATAAAAACTGCAGCATAATAATTAAACAATAATTCACAAACTCCTGTTTAAAATAGCTTTAGATGAAATATAATCACATCACAGGACACTTCCCAGTTGTACTGTATTTCATGTTATATTACAAATCAATGAAATTTGAGGTGTACTGCTGAAACTTTTCACAAAATAGTTTTTTTTTTTTTTTTAAATATAGGCATGTATGCATTTTAAAAGATTATTGGTAGATGTTCAAACTTACACAAGGAATTACCACAGTTATTAGATTTTAAATATTATCTTTTCTCCAAAAGGCTTCTGTGCTGCTGATAATAAATGAGAATAAAACATGAATGGAAACGTTTCATGAGCCCCTCAAAGCATCATTCAATCAAATGCCTGTTTTTAAATCACAGAGCTGATTTTTAAAGGCTAAATTGATTTGTTTGAGTAATGTTGGTATACATTCAGTCTGCCCTTTACTGTTCTATAATCACATTTGCCTCTACATGCTGCAGGAACGCTGACTCAGGGGCCGAGAGATCGCCAGGACCAGGACCAATAAATACTGCATGAGGAACAGACTCCACAGGGAATACTGCAGCCACACCGGAAACCAGCGTGCTTTTTCTTTACACGTCAATTGTGCTAACACACCATATAAGAACAAGGGCTTCTCTAATTAACTGTTTTTTTGTCACTATTATGTAGTTCAAGTCGTTCATTACTAGTCCTTCATTGCCATTAGATTCATTCGCTTTAGTGATCTCAAAATGAAGCCAATTTCACAGTTGACATAGTGTGATTCATGTTTAAAGCCATTATATAATATGGAAGTGTAAAAGTGATATATCAAATGGCTGAATGATTTAACATATTACATTTAGCATGTACAGGATGAAACAGGTTAATAAATTAAGGCACCTTGAAACTAAATCTCTAAAAAATTAAAGTTTTGTGTTTGGGTGAATTTCAAAATATTCAGTTTCAAAAACACTCAAGAAAAACAAGAAATTATATTCGGCATTAAAAAAATTAAGCCCTTTTTTTTTTGTTTTTTCAGTCTTATGGAGTATTTTGCATTTTATATTTTCATGACAATAAGGTCCCCCCACAAATTCTCATTACTTTAACGCTTTCTGATTTGTCAATTATGACAATTATCATCAGATTTCCATTAGTATAATACAACAAATTTTCTTATCTTATCAGCTTAAATTAAAATTTTAAATGTTATTATTTATTTATTTTTGCTTTACAGTATTGAACGTTTTTGAGAGTTAAAATGTGCTTAACTGTCATGAAAAACTTTCCTAAAATCTGTCTTAATAGTCCTAGTGCAATACAATTACTTTATTTTGATTTTGGGGTGGAACATAACTTGACAGCTTTCAAGAGAGTCTCCAAATCTAGTGAGTTAACCCAGAGAGACGTCATCTGTTTAACAGATTAGTCACATTCAGACTCATCCTTGACATTGTTACTGTCTATGTAAGTTTTTACAGTATAATATCTTTAAATGATGACGTTCAAACTCACTCTTTTATGCACTCAAACATACACATTGCTTTCCACTAGCATTAACTAAGCCCTCAAACACTGATGTGGGCTGATGATTTTTTCCATTATCAGATGAGCTGGGATTAGTGACCACACAACACGTGGCTTCAAGCCCCCGCAGGGGTAAATGAGGCAGACACAGGGGGGTTTACGTCCCCTCAGGCCTGTTAAGCTGTCCCACGTCTCACTGCCATTAGGCTGGGATTCAAATGTACACGAGGGTGTGTGTATGTGTGTAGGGTCATAAGGTCAGGTCAACAGCCATGATCCCTCACTCTCACAGAAAAGGAAATGGACTGTCATTTTATGGACAGATGTTAACGTCCTGCTGGACATACCAGCAACAACTAAAGAAAAAGTCATCCACGCTACTTATAAAAGGAAGGTTTACATGTTTCCAAACACAATTTAGTGACAGCTGTGATGTGAAATAGACATCTCACTGTTCAGCACCTATAGAGATCAACTATTAACCTTACTTTACATGTCTGCACTAGATGTACTAGTGAAGAAGGACACTGATGTGTTCGTTTCTGAAAGTTACTCCTAAAAATAAGCTACCCACAAAGGCTTCAGGTTTTTTTTTTCAGTGGACCGTGTTACAGTGTTAATATTGAGAATATAAAGATAAAATCTACATACTGAAGGGAAATGGTATGTCTATACGGTATAATGACAACAACAATGAAAAAAAGGAGAATAACAGAAAATTCTAAAGCAGGGGTGCCCAACCCTGCTCCTGGCGATCGACTGTCCCGCAAAGTTCAGCTCCAACCCTAATCAAACACACCTGAAGCAACTAATTAAGGTCTTCGGGATCACTTAAAAATTAAAGGCAGGTGTGTTTGATTAGAGTTGGAGCTAAACTTTGCAGGACAGTCGATCGCCAGGAGCAGGGTTGGGCACCCCTGTTCTAAAGCATGACAAAATGAACCAGCCACCCAAATCAAAGTAAAGGCAAAACTTTCTTTCTTTTCAGTAAAAGATCTGTTTGATTGGGTGCACTAAAACAAAACGCATAAGTGTTTGTATTATAAATAAATATTATATTGCTCAGATAATAAAAGCCAATGTATTCAGAATTAATATGGTATCAGTATAAATAGTATAATAAAAACTATGAACACACTGACAAATTAAAATATCTGACCTTCTAATTGCAAGTATTAATGAAGTGAAATGAGGATGTATTCTAAATCCTTCTAACAGGAAGTTGAAATTATTATTTATGGCTAAAAATTGGGAATTCGAGATCTGTCCTGAAATAATCTCTGATCAGTAAAGTGAAACAGCATCGGTTCGGCAGGTGATGGGTTACTGGTGCATTAGGAGATGAGACGCTTTTCATGCCAAACACATCAAGGCAAGAGTTTTATTACCAAATGCAGAACAAGGTCTTGGGGAGCAATTCAATAACGTTGCCTTTCTCTGCTGATGCACAAACATTGAGGAGCTTTTAAAGAAATTCTCCTTTGCTGTCACTGAGCAATGAGACACGGCGCTGGGTGGCTGGAGTCAGACACAGCGTCACGTCTGACCGTATGTTAGTGTCCTCACCTCCAACAGCCCGCCCGACTGGTGCCGGTGCTGCAGGATCATCCATCTCTCTCTCTCTCTCTCTCACACACACACACGCACACACATGCTTTCTTCATGTACCCACGCACACACACACACACACATGTATGCACTATATCCACAGGGTGAACAATCATCACTGTGAGGAATGTCCTGATGAGAAAGGATATTAACACATCTCTTGGCCAAACGTTTAGTCTGCACGAGATCAGGATCAGTCTCTCTGAATAGCTGCCAATGTCATCAAGGTCGAGCAGCTCGTATTTGCTCATGAATCTTAAGATATTGTGTGTGTGTGCACACACAGCAACTGAGGGCCAGTTAAGTGTGTAATGGTGAGACAAGGATTTAAAGTCAACATGAAATCATGTTCCTGGTCTCATTGATTCATTAGTGCACATTATTCCAATGAAAAGAATCTTAAAATGATTCAGCAAAATATAACTTGTGCTACCTCTCAAACGACTTCCATATAAAATCAAATCCTACCCTACATTGTTTCCCATCTCATGGTAATGCTACCATTTTCATGTTTCATCTTTTCATGCTTCATGCTAAGCACTGTAAAAAAAAAATATATACCGTATTGACCCGAATATAAGACGATATATAGTTTTTTTCTTGGAAATACATCTGAAAAAACGCGGTCGTCTTATATTCAGGGTCTAGATTTTGACATGTCAATAATACACCCACAACAATAGGTGGCGCCAAATACGCATAAAACGAGTGTGCCATGAAATACGTAATGTAATGCGTGTTGTAAAGATCGCGAGTAAAAACAAAAGAAAAAGAAAACCTTACAGCTGCATGAGTCGTGACTGTCACGTTAGCCTGATGGGACCAAACTCTCTTTGTGATTTTAAAACGTAAGACAGTACCCAGATTTGAAGACTACAGTAAGATTTAACTTCTACTGTTAATAAGATTTTGGTAGGCTACTATCCGATGGATAGCCTAAATGTAAAATTAAAATATGTGATAAAATGTGTTTTACTGAGAAAAAGCAAGATTTGGTTTTAAAAAAGCCTTTTTCCAAAAGGTACATCTGGAAAAAGGGGGGTCGTCTTACAATCAGGGTCGTCTTATATTTGGGCCAATACGGTATATATATTCTTGATCAGCATCTTCAACATAATTTCCTGTAAAGATATCTAAACTTTAACTCAACATAAATTTGCATGAGAACAAAACTGCACAAAATATTAAAGGGGTCCTATTATGCTTTTTCACTTTTTTAATTTTAGTCAGTGTGTAGTGTGTATGTTTGGGCATAAAAAAGATCTAGAAAGTTACAAATCTCAAAGTCCACTCCAAAGGGAGATATTTCGTTTTTTAAAAATCCCTTTTCAAGAACTACAACGAACGGCTCGTTTGGACTACAGCGTTCGTTTTCCGGGCTTTGTGATATCACAAAGCGGCTCATTGGAATATCATTACAAATAATTCCCGCCTACAGAAATTCGAATGGTTGGGGGGTGGGGAGGGGCGAGGTTGTGGTTAGAACGCTTGGTTGAGTGAGTGCATCAGACGAGACGATGAAGAAGAAGTGCTGCTGCAGAGTTAGTGCATCAGAGAAAACGAAGAAGAAGAGCTGCTGTGCTGTAGTGTCAAATTTTCGGCATGTCTAGAACAATTCTTACAAGTATAACATGACGTAGCTGGGCGCCGCGGACAGACACCGAATGGCGCCACCGGTGTGCCTACACTCATAGAAAAAGTATTTGAATTTTAAAGACATGGTGCGACGCAACGCTGCGCTTCTCGTCCGGTGTG